AGCAATTTCTTTCTTTATTTTAAAGTTTTCATAAATTCGATCGCTTTCTATAAATCTGAGAAATTCGAGTTTGTACTTTTTAAGAAGTAGAATCGAAAAAAATAATTTTTATAACAAGAATTTTCAATATTTATATTGAAAAATAATATATAATTTTATTATAACATTTTTATAAGAATTTTTATGTTTAAAAATCTTTATTGCTTCTTCAATATTTTTCTCTTCAGAAATTTCTTTCCTTATTTTAAAGTTTTCACATATGTTTATTCGATCGTCCTCTCATAAACTGATGCTCGTGCTTGCATTTCTTAAGAAATAAAATCCGAAAGATAATTTTTAATATCAAGAATCTCCAATACTTATATTAAAAAATAATATGTAATTTTACTATATAATTATTTTTTATAAGAATCTTTGAAAAAATTGTAATAATTTTTTAAAATCAACTAAATAAAATAATTTTACCTTGATTTCGTTCGATAAACGCACGGAGCAGTTGTTCTTCGCTTAAAAAGGCAACTATCCGACGCAGACGTTCTAATCGAGTTTCTCGAGTCATGGTGGTTACAAATTTGGCAAGACTTTCGCGCGACCATCAGATGCCTCGCGCATGTATCCGTTCGTAATTCGAACGCGAGCGCTGCGCAAAACGCGCTTTCTCCCCATCTAAGGGGACATTTGCTTGAAAAAAAATTCTCGGGCCAGGTTCAATTTTTCTCTTCTTTTTGTTTTGTTTCGCGCGGCCCATTTTGCACCGCACGCGTCGCCATGAATAAATTTTCTATTTATCAAAGATACAACCCGTGCGTAACGATCCGCACCGGTTTCCGGTGAGAGCTCGCAACTTGTCACAGCTGTTATCGTTGAGCACGTATTGAACACATTCAACATACTGTGCGTGAGCCCTTTATGGGCGTGAAAGTCGTCGATCATACGGAGAGTCATGCTATCGTCTATCAACGATATCCTGAATTTTTTTTCACCGGTACCAGCTGCGATCAATTCCGATGACAGAAGATAATCCTTGCTGAACAAAGTCGCGTTTCTACGTAAAATGTTCAGACTTATAAAACAAAACCAATAAAATTTTTATAGATAATTTTGCTCTCTTTCGCGAATTTTGATATTAAATATCTGAGGAAAAAAATCTCGAGATTATCATTCAATTATCTTATATATTAATTTTTATTGTCATAAGAAAACAACATTATTTAATAATGTTTGTTAAATAATTTTTTAAATAATTAAATAAAATGTTTAAAGATAATTTTGCTCTCTTTCGCGAATATTGATATTAAATATCTGAGGAAAAAAATCTCGAGATTATCATTCAATTATCTCATATATTAATTTTTATCATAAGAAAACAACATTATTTAATAATATTTCTAAAATAATTTTTTAAATAATTATATTAATAATTTTCTAAAATTTTTAAATTTTATTAATTTTTTAAAATAATCTTTCAATACTTTTACCCTATAGAAAGCTCTTAAATACCGACGATATATAATAATAGCATGATTTTTCGATTCGTCACGCGCGATGGAACAAACTCCAAGGAGCTTATTGATGAATTGTAACCGGCCGATCGAATCCATTATTCACGGCTTCTCGAAACCGAGATCCACACGCGATACAAGACACGAGTTAAATATCTACAAAGAGCGATATAAGGCCCGATCGATTTGCCATTCTTCTCCCCTATCGCTCACTTCATCTTTCTTTTTCGTGACTTTTCGTTGTCCTCCTCGAATGAAATCCGAGCGGAGATCTTTCCTCGATGACGGGCCACGTCAAGCGATCTCGGTCAGCCAGATCGTATAATTGATTTAGACTTTCGTCGAAGTGCTTTTTAACTGCGATTTTGCGACGTGCGCTCCTTCACGCGTGAACGCTTTCTGCTCCGAACGACCCAATAATAAACTCCTACTCGCGGCAATTCGCAGATTCGATCGCTGCTGGCTCGTAGATTCGTCGCGCTTATTTCGGAGATTACCTCAATTTCATCCATGTGCGCGATAGTAAAGTTAGACAGACAGGGTCATTGCACTCTGGCAGTTGATAGCAGCTTCGTGTGCGAGAAAGAAAATATGCTGTAAAAAATATGAAAAAAAAAGAAAAAAATGATTTTGAAATAATTTGCTCAATTTATTTGCAATTTATCAAAATATCAAAGCAATTTTTATATTGATAATAATAATTATTATATATATGATTGATTGATAATAATAATAATAATAATAATAATAATATAATAATAATAATAATAATAATAATAATAATAATATAATAATAATAATAATAATAATAATAATAATAATAATAATATAATAATAATAATATCAATAATACACGAATTGTTTGAGATTAAAAGAAAATTAAGTAGATCAAATAATTATACTGCTATTTATATCTAGAAACATCATTACGATAACGATTTGATTGCGCGGCCTAACACGCGCTTTCCAAAGTAATTAACTGCGTGTTTATCCCCGTCACGTGATAACTGTTAATTACTATTCTGTTCGTTTGTTCCACGAAGAGTCGTAAGAATAGCATGGATTCGCCTGATGCATAGCAATGACTACATGTGCGAACGTGTTCTAAGAGAGAATGTGTTCATCGATATGTCGTATAAGTAATTACACAAGATCGGAGACTAAACGTATAAACATACAAATCTATAAATGTCGACACATTGAATTATTTTTATCTTATCCCTTCTTTTATCCAAATCTTAAAATCTAATCATTAACGTGTTGTTATTTAACGTATTATTATTTATGTCGTTTTAATTATATGCAAGCAGTTATTTGTTATTTGAAATTTTAATTAATTAATTAAATAAGTAACTAATTAATTAAGTAATTAATTTTAAATAATTAATTAAATAATTTTAAATAATCTAATAATCTCTTAAATAATCTTAAATAAACTTAAATAATCTAATCGATCATTTAAAGTCGAAACTTTAAGATATGATAAAAAAAGAAAAATAAAAAAAAAACAATAAATACTAAGGAAATGTGTATCTAATGTCGCGCTGAGAAAACTTTTGTAAAACATGACATTCGATTCACTTTACCACGGCTACAAAATTCAAAGAATACGTAGATAGGTAACCACCCTTGTCTCGAGAAACTGACCTGCCCTAACATTTCCGTCTCGAGATCTTTAAATCCCGTCGTCCTTTGAAGAATTCTCAAGAGAGTGCTCGGAAGATGCCATGAGAATTTAACAAGAAAATTTAAAAGAATCAAAGGCAAGAAAGACAAGTTTCCAACAAGAGAGAAAGAGAACAAGAAAAAAATACACAAAAGTAGCAGACTCGATATTAAATTCCTGTAGATCTTCTTGCACTTACGAAAAAAAATTACGTAAAATGCGAAAGTCAATTCAATACATCAGCTGTTTTATTAGTCATTCTCGATAAAATTTCCCATCTAATTCTCCAAGAAAGCAATTGAGCTGTTCAAAGTCAAAGTGCACCCAAGTCTCGTTGCATCTTCGTCTTTTCGATTTCGCATCGTGCGCTGAGAAAAATCGTTTGATTGACCAACAAGATGTATATGATTGAAGGCATTTTGGTTAAATCAAACAAGAATTTCTAGTTATCATGATAAGATTCGATTTTTTATAATTAGAACGTTGAATAGATTTTATTATAAGGATTTGATTAGTATTTTCTGGTTGGATCTATAAAATTTCTTGTTACATTAATTTCTTTGCTTGCTTCTTAACTTAACTCGTATTCAATATTTGCCATGAAATGTATATAAAGAATTAGTATTAAACTTAAACCCAAAGTATATTTTTTTTCTCTTACGAGCAGTAGTGTCAGAAAGAGGACGCTAGCTCTCCGATTGTGTGTTTGAGCTGCATCCTCTTTTTGCATCATTGTTTATCAGTTTAATTTCTAACAAACTGAAGTTAAAATAATTTATTCAATAATCTGGATTGAATTTATGCAATAATCATGTTGGAATTCAGAATATTAAACAAACTTTTGAGATTAGAAGAAATTTTAGATGACTTGATGCTGGCGAGTTTAGTATTATTAACCAGAAAATTTGATAAATTTAACAGGAAGAAATTAAGATAGATTCATCTGGTAATTTCCTACAAAATTTAACAGGAAGAAATTAATTTAGATTCATCTGGTAATTTCCTACAAAAATTCTGGATCGTCCATTTTCCAACAGACCTACTGGTTGAATCTACCAGAATTCTAATTAATGCAACCAGATTTTTTCTCAATGCATTTATATTGGATCTTTTTTCCTGCATTTTTTTGCATTTGGTATGATTTCTGCATAACTTTAATCTTATTTAGATTCCGATAAATGTTAAAGTATTCACAGAAATAATTATCTGACATCGTCAATTTAAGAGATTTTTCATTCGCATTAATTATTATTAATATATATGTAAAATGATTTCAAATTAATCAGATTCATCTGGTAATTCCTACAAAAATTCTGGATCGTCCATTTTCCAACAGACATACTGGTTGAATCTACCAGAATTCTAATTAATGCAACCAGATTTTTTCTCAATGCATTTATATTGGATCTTTTTTCCTGCATTTTTTTGCATTTGGTATGATTTCTGCATAACTTTAATCTTATTTAGATTCCGATAAATGTTAAAGTATTCACAGAAATAATTATCTGACATCGTCAATTTAAGAGATTTTTCATTCGCATTAATTATTATTAATATATATGTAAAATGATTTCAAATTAATCAGATTCATCTGGTAATTCCTACAAAAATTCTGGATCGTCCATTTTCCAACAGACCTACTGGTTGAATCTACCAGAATTCTAATTAATGCAACCAGATTTTTTTCACAGTGCTGGATTGAATTTATGCAATAATCGTGTTGGAATTCAGAATGTTAATCAGACTTTTGAGATTAAATAAAAAAAATTTTAGATAATGCAACCAGATTTTTTTCTCAGTATGCGGATAATTAATTAGTACAAGGTACTCACGCTTTTGCTATGGCTCGTGCTGTGATGTGTATGATGGTGCGTGTCTAGCTTCATGTTGGCGCAACGATTAAGGGCATGCAATCGCCGAAAAAGACTTTGCAGTGAGTCGGCCTCGAGGAAGGGATGGTCCTTGGCCACGCCGGAAACGTCTATCGGGAACTGATAGTCTGCAACACGAAAACACAACGTCAATTTTCGTCTGCGTGCTGGATTATTTACGCTAGATAGGGCAAGGTGAGGTGAGGTGTCGCGCTTACGTCAGCGAAAAAGTGCATCGCGGCGATATCCAATAACGTTGAAAACATCCGTTGTGCGTATTGACCACGTTTTGTTTGTTGCCACGGCATTCAAAGTCATTTGATTATCGAGCATATCGCCCGTCAATAGACCATGTCCACTTAGCCTACGGGCATTAATCTCCTCTCGATGAACCCCGGATTGTCAATTCGCTCCTACTCTTGCTCTATTTATTTTTTTCAGACAATAGCCGTCGTTTAAATTCAATTAAGCAAGTTAAAACGCGCGTTTTATCTCTACACGTGATCGCCATGAATTTTACAATCTATTTTATTCGTTAATTTGTACGATTTTCTCGTGTAATAAATTCCTATAATAAATTCAAGAGGATTTTCCTGTATTATTTTATTAAATTCGCGAGAAAATGATATGATGATGAGATTATTAATATAGATTATTAATAATAAAAATTTTAATATGTTAAATTAAAATTATATCACGGGTCACTTGGATATTATTCATGCTTCAATTATTTCAATTGTTTTATTATTCTTTATTGATCGAACGAGTTCCAACGAGTGACTTAAGTCTTTTATTTTGCGAATTTATTTTTGGCGAAGACTAAAATTGTTACTCTAGAAAAAACAATAATAGACTTTTTCTCTACAACCGTCTAGAATTTCTTTGTAAATACGTCGCGATCGATCGCTCGTAAAAGTTGGGAAGGTTTCTGTCACGACTTACGCAATGCTGTTCTAGATCTGCTGAACCAGATCTCGGATCTATAATCTTTAAATGGGATCCCAGGATCAATTTCTCGGCTCTCGAAACGGAACGATCTTTTAATAATTGCAGCATCGAATGAGCGCGGCATTAAAAAATCTTTGCAAAAGAATATACTTTTTTTTTATCAACAAAAAGATGATTTTATTCATTGATAAAAAATGTAATTCTTTTAATTAGTTATTTACAGATTCGTACAAAAAGAAGAATTGTCTTCGTTCCTTTATGAAAGAAACTGTCGCAAACAAGCTGAATAACTGAAATAAATCCATTATAAGAATTATGAACGCCCATTATATATATTTCGATCGAGTTTATTTTCACTTATTAAAGTGCACGTAAAAATAATTAACGAGCAGTCCTCGATCGATAGCGAATAAATTGACCAGTCGTCTGTTTTATGTACGAACGTTATACTCTGCTTCCTTCTCGAAACATATAAATACACGTGTGTGATTTTTCAATCGTTAACATTTCCTGAAACTAGAACGTTGTCGTAATATCATATTTCGCGAATACGGTAAACGCTAAGGCAAACTTTCTCGATCTTTCATTACTTTATTTGTAATAATTAATAATTAATTAATAATATGAAATATAATAATATAAATAAATAATATAATATATATAATATAAATAATATAATATGTATAATATATATTAATATATATAATATATATAATAATATAATATAAATAATATAATATAATTAATAATATAAATATTGTATAAATATACTTTGCTTGTAATAATTAATAAATATGCTTTATTTGTAATAATTAATAATTAATTAATAATATAAAATATAATAATATAAAATATTTTATAAATATACTTTGCTTGCAACGAGAAATCAAATGGGAATCTTGATTAGAAAATTTATTGGATTCTTTTGAAGTTTTATTAAAAAGAAAAATAAAATTGTGATATTTTCTACGACGGTAAATATTCCCGCGATAAAGTATATCGGATGATGAGGATACTGATGCGTCAACGTTATATTCGATGAAGAATGATTCGATTCATTACGAATTTCGCATCATCAATTGCCGCAGTGTATCTTTTCTCTCTGGCAACGCGATCATGCTTGCATCGATTATATCCTCGATACAAGTCGATGTGCTTCCTCGCAACAAGATCGAACACTAACGATGCTCGAATAGATTAATGTTAATGGCTGGCGATTACGTTCGTGCTTCATGGATATACTAATTACAGATTAATAATCTAGGAAATAGTGGGAAATTTATTTACGAGGCTCGTCTGACAAATCAATAGCCTGCGAGCCTCGATTTCAATCATCGATCCAATAATATTAATCTGTTTGTTTATCGCGGTGTAATAAAAGTATATCAGCATCGACACATTTTATCAAGATGTCTCTAGAATCTTATTAAGAAGAGTCCCTGAAAATTTTGATCTTCCAAGTATTTTCATTCAAAAAATTTCATTCCAAGTAAAGAGAATATTTTAGAGAATTTTTTATATGCGACTTTTTATTAAATCAGATGTTTTATTCTATGCGTTTTCTAATGCATTTTTACTTATACGAAGGAAAGACACTTGAGTTTTGAGTGGTAGATTTGTAAATGTGCTGAAAAAACTGAGTAGCTTTCATGAAGAATAAATTATAAAAATTTTTAATTTTCATTCATATTTTTATTCCTTACTAATCATTAAAAATTAAAATAATAAGTAAATATACCGCATGTTAAATATTTCGTTAAGATATCGAATGTATAAACAAATATAATAATAATAATATTTTAAACACATAATTCACAATTTGGCATATCGATAAATTGTCGACTGCTTGCAATTTAAGTGTAAAATTACAAAAGAGAGAATTCCTTCTTTAAAAAATCCCAATAAAATTCCAAGAATTTTCCATGAGAAGTCTATTGATTTTTCCAGATGCAAAAGAGAAATCTTCAGGGATTTCTTTTGCATCTGGAAAACTTCTCACATCTTTACAGGGAATATAAACAGCCTTTATATGCATATTTGAAGGAATACTTCGCTCTCTTTTTATTTCTCTCCTTTTCTTTTCTCGAAATATGCACGCCACATCTCCTTTGTATCGCTGCGATTAAGATAAATCGATTTTAGCTGCGGATTTAATTCGCGGCTCGCGAGACAGAAAAATGCGCTCGCGAACGATTTGATAAATTTATCCCACGGCCAGGAACGACGCTGCGCGATCGATCCTTAATTTATCACGTCGATCGTCAGACACGACACCCACGTTCGGTCGCGTCGTTGGAATTCCACGAGGGACGCGATCATCCTTCGTAGCCGGGCACGATCCGCGGTAAAATCCTTGCAATCGAGCACGTGCACGTGTACGTATGTATGCTTGTGGTCGCGTGATTCTCGTACGTATTTGATGGGCGGCATCGGTATCGGTATTTATATCGTGCCTTGCGCCGACCGACTCGGGTTCAACTGGGTCAATTAGCTACTATTCATAGTGGTGCTTCGATCGCGAGAGCCCGACTGAGTTATGATCAATCGTGCACTTTGTATACGGTGCCACGGATACGAGTGTGTACCTATCTAAACGCACACATGCGTAAATTCGCACGCACGTGCGCGCAAACTCGTGTGCGTACGCCAGATGTATTAGTGATATTAGTTTAGAACGAATAGAGTTTCGAAGCTACATTATATTTATAGAGTATACGATTATAGAAGAAGAATGTCTTTATGAGAGACAAAGGCATTTTTTTTCATTTATGAGTTCAAAAGATTTATTATAAGACTCCCTTGGATACACATATTTAAGGATGTTTCCAAAATATTGAGAATTTCATAAAAATTGTACAGAATGTCCTTATATATGTTTAGAATCTTCAGTAGAATTTTTAAATCGATTCACTAAAGCGTTCACAAGTTAGAAGGATTTTAATTTGCACCGAATTAACATGTGTTTTTATGGGAAACGTGTAACCACGTCGATTCAAATGACAAAAACACATGGAAATAATATTCAGAATTTGTTTAAAATTTGCAAAAGTTTTTTTCTTTTTTATCGTGTCGCACCCTTTTGCAATTAATTTCAATTCGTTTATATATTCGATATATTTTCATTGCAATTTAATACATTTGTCTCGTTGCAAAATTTACCAGAGGGTTTTAAGGATGTTTTGTACCTATTTTTAAAATATTGAGAATTTAATGAAAATTGTACAGAATGTCCTTACATATGTTTAGAATCTTCAGTACAATTTTTAAATCGATTCACTAAAGCGTTCACAAGTTAGAAGGATTTTAATTTGCACCGAATTAACATGTGTTCTTATGGGAAACGTATAACTAAGGCGATTCAAATGACAAAAACACATGGAAATAATATTCAGAATTTGTTTAAAATTTGCAAAAGTTTAGATACGGAGGAAATATTTCAAATAATATTATAAAATTCATCAAATAATATTATACAAGTACTAATTGGTTAAAAAGATATTAAATATAATTCAATAAAGTTAGCCATGTATCTGTCATAAGGCGAAATTCCTGCCAAAAGTTAATCATTTCGATTAACAAAATTCGGAATATTTCTGTAAAAACGCAATAAATATTAAAAAGTACATCTCTGCACTGTAACTAAAATCAAATTGTAATATTCCACACAATTTCTTACTCAAAATACACCAAAAGTGGATATATTCGACAATATTGATTTTCAGCTACTTTTTGCTGGGATTGTACATACAAAACATCCTTAATAAAATTTATTATAAATATAATTAATTAATTATTTAACTAATTACTTAATTATATAATTAATATAATTAATCAATTATTTAATTAATACATTTTAATTTAATAGATTGAGTCTCTTTTTTATGCAATAATTATGTGATAAAGATCATATATCAATTGCAAGTTTATTTTTTATATTGAAGATGAATCATGTTTTGTTCCCAAAATAAAAAAAAAATATATATGTAAAAGGATGTGACTTTGTCTAGTTTAGAATAAATCTTATCAAGTTTTCATTATGCATTGTTATTCCTCGTACTCAGCATCTGGGTCGCCGCAATGCATAGCAGTTTTCTCAGAATGTGTTTGTAGGCTACAGTAGTGGAAGCTGCGAATTAAATTAAACTTTTATAAGACCGCCCGCTTGTCTCCCACGCGCCCC